AGTCTGATGTGTTATCAGCGAGCAGATGTCCTCTGACTCTCCTGATAGAGCGAGGACAGCGACAGGCAGGCGTTCATGTTCTAGCTCCTTCGCCCCCTCCATCTGTTCCGATGTAAGCCAGGAGAAACTGGATCTTTCTATCCCCCTCGCACCTCAGCTAAAATGGGACCTCTTTAATAACCATCCTCTGCTCTTTAGGAAGATGACGATAAACCACTTCAAGTAGGACAATGATGAAAAGATTTAGTTTCCTCGGAGATAGGATGAAAATGACTGAGCGTCTGTTATGTCAGGAGCTGCGTATTGGTCCATTATAAATCAATGAGGTCCACTTTAAAGGATGAACCATCACATGTAATATGCAGTTATATTAATACATTAATAGCATGTCTCCTGAGTCTAGATAGCTGTTACACATACTTAAATCCTCTGAGATAGCAATAACGTTGTAGAAATCTTCAAGAATTGTGTTTTCACTTGTTATTTGATTGAACTCGACCCTTAGCTCTCATCTGTATCAACCAGTCTACAGTATAATTTATTTGAAAGCATTACTACTATCTTATCCTATCCCCTAAATTGATTGCTTCCTCTGTCATTCCTCTATTGAAAGGCGTCTGTTTTTTGCTTGATTACTTTAACAGCTCATTTGTTATTTCATGTATTGTTTAACATAATTATAGTACTTGTAGCATGTGTTGGGAGCTGCAGTTATCCTCGCAGTAATCGCTCTGTAATTAGATCACTGTCATGACCATATGACCTACTAAAATAAGATAATGATGCTGTAGTACTCACAGCTGCACCATGACCTGCATGTTTATTTTATTTATGCAGTATTACAGTGATAGCTGCCGTCCAAGTGAGAGCATATCCTCTGCATGCAATGATTTTGCATCAATGCCGAGAAAGTCCTGGGTCGTCTGCAGAGCAATTAAGGGTGGGTTGACAAGGGTTATCACAGTTTGTTCAAGTTTGTCCCATGACACCAGTAAGGAGCTCATCAGTTTGTTCTTTCCTCTCAAATCCACTCACAGTGAAGCTGGTAAATAATTCAGACACTACAGTTACAGCAAAGACACACGGAGAACAAACAGCAGTGGGAGGCTTTAGCTATGCTAGCCTCTCTCTGAGGCTGTACTTTGCTTTGAGTCGACTGCAGATGACACCGAGATAATATGTTTATTATTGTGGTGCAGAAATGCCCCAAAGTGTGCAATGAGTGACAGAAGTGGCCTGAATGAAACTTCAGGGTCAACATGATGAAATAAAATGCAAATTTGTTCCTAAAGGGTATACATAATACATATATGCATACAAACCATGTGCAATTTTAGACACACATCAGCTTGTGCAATTGTGTGCTATAGGCATTGTGCAATTCAATTCAATCTTGCACTGTACCGTGCATCGTGCAATTCAATATAATTTCGCACGTATGCACTCATCACTTTAGCAAGCTGGACTGTAGCAAATCACACTTTCAACACCTTTAGCACATGACACTCTAATAAGCACTTGAGCACTTTACAATTCTCCTTCAATCTTTTTGGTCCACTTACTATTGGCCACTTAGTTTTTGGTCTGTGTATGTTGTTTATGTATATTATGTGTATGTTGTCAGTGCATTGTTCTACTGTCTTAGTCATGTTGTTTGTTATTGCTTTTATGTTTAACATCAACCTACCAATGGGACCGGGGATGGGAATTAGCCATCTGGCTATAATCCCACATATTTACAGGTAAATGTTCATCAATATATGCTGTTCCCATTTTTAAAAATAAATAAATAGAAATAGAAATAGTCTCCTATTGCTTGATTTATACAATCTATACAATTTAATTTAACAATACAGACTCTTATACAGACTCTTTATATGTATCTTAATATTCTGCCATGGTGATGACTTACACTAATGCACTTACATGTATGGGTGTTTTAATCCAAGGCTGCGTGTGTCTGTCTCTCCTCTCTCTCGCCCACAGTGTCGATTGTTAATCCTCCTTTATCCAAGAGGCTTCATTTTTTGTGTGCAGCTAAGATAAGATAAGATAAAAAGTCACAAACAAAGTTAACTGTGTCACTCTTTGACCCGCTTTGATCAGTCTTTGATAAAACACTGTCTCTGAGGGGAAGTTTAACTGTTCGTGTTATCTAGTGGGTTACAACATCAGGATCATCTTCAGCCCGCAGGTCAAAGGTGAACTCAGGGTTTCAGATCACCTTGACACAGATGTCATTTCACATTCCAGCCGATGACTTTATTTTCGAACAACCGTTTCCAAATTGACACATTGTTTGAGTTTCTGTTTTGAATTTAATCAACGGCTTAGTGAATTTCACCTTCTCAAATGCAGTCACAGATCATAAAATCTCATGTTGTTATTCACTCATTTCAAAAGGGGAGTTTAACAGGAACACAAAGACAACACAGGAGTGCCTCAGATATGATTCAAGAGAAATGTCATTCTCGTGAATGTAGTCAGGAGGAATGGTAAGGTGTGGTGCTTATTTACAGGGACAGCTCACTCTGAAACAGACTGTCTTACAACACAGTGACCTTTGACCATAAACTAAATGTAAAAACAAATCTTCAATATGTGGTTAAATGATTGTGTCAACACCTGGGCATGAAAAAAGTGCTTCTGTATACATTTAATGTCCTGCTTTATATGCTCACACATTTGCACAGCAACACATTTCATGTTCTTTCACTGATTTTGACAGCCTTTACTGATAATAAGAGTAAAACTAAGGCACTTATGCAGCAGTAAAACTCTAAATGCAGGAATTTAGCAGTGTGGTGTTGCTTCTTTAGCTCCAGTAGTATAACTTCTCGTACCTCTGCTCCTGAGGAACTTTAAAACTTTATGTAACATGTTCTTTATAGCTTTCCCACTAGCAAACAGAGGGAGGCTTCATGAACCATTACATGTGTCTGGATGGGTGGAACTTTAAAACATGGAACTCCCAGAAGAAAACTCCTATAAAAGTGCAATAAAACTGTCATCACTGATTGTATCATGAAAAATACAGAGCTGGTTTTATGTGTGTGTAGCATGAGTCTGAGGGTATCCTGTGGTTTTATGAACCTGGTGGGCTGAAGCTCCTGTTTTAAGGCACCCTTTCATGTTTATTGTCACAGTATTACTCCTCTACTCTGATATAATTTAGAAAAAACAAGGTCTCCTTCAGTGCAGTTTGATTTTTATATTTAAATTGGCGCAAACAGTGTGACTATTAAATCCATTAGGGACTACTGTTTTACTAACAATACTGACATTTCTTAGTATGATTGTAAAGCTGTCTTTAAGCGTAAATGTTTTTACAATGTCAGCTTAAAAATTTTCACTTACATCTATACTAACATTTTACAAGCCATAGACAGTCGGTGTGTATGAGTGAATTTGGGCAACCTGAGGAACTTTGTTTGACATTTTGCCCTTGAATCGGCTGATTTAAGAGGTGTTAGGCTCCTCTGCAGTATGTTGAATGCATGGAAAGTAAATGACAGATAAAAAGAACCGAGCAAATCTTAATTCGTGACATTTTTCTAGTGTTCTTGGACACCTGGCCTTTGTGTGAACACCCCATGAAATTAGAAAACAGATAGGGGAGAGTGGGGTAAGTTGAGCCAAAGGTTAAGTTTGAGCCACCCCGTGTTGCTTGGAAATGGTAAAAGAAATTGATCATGTGACCAAATATTTAGGAGATGGGCATCAATTTATGGAGTCTGTTAAGGTTAGAAGCACATGGGTGAAGGGGTTAGACATTTATTTCCAAAAAAAAAACATTTTTCTCTCTTGAAAGTGAATTTAGTCTGTCAGAAGTTTTATTAGAATTGTGTTTAGACTAAAAAAGATCTTTTTGAATTTGTTAAATCAATTGTGGTATCTATAAGCTACAACATGAGGTCAAAAACTTAGCATAAAAGTCCACCATCGTAGCTTAGAGGACTAATAAAGTCCTCTATAGTCACTAATAAAGCCAGTGGCTCAACTGAGAAAGTAAAGGAGTCTGGTGAGAGGATCAGAGTTTTAGTTCAGATTGTTAGAATGTGTTACTCTTTCTTTTCAAAAACACAGCTGTGAATGTTCTGAATCAGTTAAAGACATTCTCGTGTTAAAATGGCTTTTTACAAAACAGGAGACCACTTTTTTGGCATGCTATATTATCAAGACAGTAATGTTTACACTCATTCTGTTAGTTTGCAGGGATGCACAACATCTTGAAATATATGCAGATACACTAGTTAGAGACAAAACTATGATTGCCTTGATGTAGTGATCTCAAATATGAAAAATGGCTCATCATACCCCACTCTCCCCTACTGCACCTAGCACAATGACTGAGCATTTTAGGCCTCTGTCTAAATGGACATCCTTATCAGTGACTGCATGCACAACAATTCAGTTTGCCAAGTTGTCTCGCCGGACACGGGACAACTTGGCAATCAGGTGCAAATCTGCAGAAATTTCGCGTTTGTTCATTGTCGGTGTTTTGACCAGAAGTGTGGCCCCGCCCACCTAGAATAACCCAACCAATGAGCTCATCCCTGCCTCGGAGGAGTGATCCGTATATGTGAAACACCAGGCTGCCTGTTCATTGAACTGAGTCAGCGGCCATGCGCAAATGGATCCAGAGGAGGGCTGTGTTGTGTAGGCTGGTGTCTACATAAGATCCCCGCCTGCGGGACTGCACACACAACGCCGACTGGAAATCACGGGCAGCAGCTGGAACCTTGATTTGTGTTTGATTTCTCTTCAGATTTACTGGTTTTTGGAGGAGAACATAAATCACGATCGTCTGACGGTTACCTTGGGATCTCTCCAACCCCTCCTCCCTCCCTCCTTCCTCGGAACTGGCCAGTTTGGACCGCGGATACAGAAAGCAGCAGCAGCAGCAACGATGCGGCGGCTCTGCTGTTAACTCATCGGACCCCTCTTTTTTTCGCTCGTATTTTGCCGGTTTTACCTTCCGACGGCAGAATACACCCACAATGAAGCTGAAGCCGAACCAGACCAGGACATACGATGGCGAGGGCTTCAAGAAAAGAGCAGCATGTCTGTGCTTCAAGAATGAACGCGAGGAAGAGGTAAGATCTTCGGTTATCTTTAAGTCAACAATGTGAAATATACCGTAGAGTTGTGTTTCCCTGTGGCCTAGTCACCCTAATGTCATTCAAGCAGCGTAGGGGTTATTATGGGTAAATTTGACATTAATCTTTATAAATGAAAGGCAGTATCAGCTGTGATTTGCCCTTCACGGTGAAGCCATTTTCACGCTTTTTCTGTCTGAACCACGTTTTGATTTGTGTCACTGCTGCTGCTGCTGCTGCTGCTGCTGTTGATGCGCTTTGGGCCATCCAGTTCAGGCTAGTTTGAGGGGCACGTAGAGAAAAAGACAGAACCGCTCGTTGTCAATGTAACTTCAATCGACAACACGCAATTAACGGCGACGAACTTCAAAGTAAAACTAATCCGACTGAAAATACATTCGAAACTGGCTTTATAATAAAGCGAAACTCTTATTTTGAAGAGAAAAGCTGTTGTCTTCCGGTTGGCTTCTTGCTAGCTTTAAGGTCGTTTACAGCGGGATCGAGGTGCTTTCTTGCATATTTCTTTACAAAGCACCGTCAACGTTGATGTTTTTGTCGTGTGAGAAGAGATTAATGAAACAAATTTTAGATACGAACACGTTTAATATATTTTTGGATGTAGCATCCATGACCAAGCAGTGACCATTCATGATAATACTGCATCCCGCCGGCCTTGAGCGGGCAGCTGCGTAGCAATGAAGTGGATGAGGATTTAAAGGGACATTCTCCGACTTTATAATGAATCTGCAGGGACCGTCTCTTATTGTTGGTGCATCTTAGACTTCTCTTTGTGGTATTAAATACAGTGGATTAACTCAAAATGGTCTCAAACCTACTGCATCCTTCAGTGATAGTCCCACCTCACACTTTTGAATCCAGTTAGATAAATAGAAAAATAAAAGTCAAGACAAAATTGACCACATTTAGATGCACATGCGAACACAAAAATAAATAAATGCATTAAAGAGGACCAGATATGTATGACAAACCAGGCAGCTATAAACTCATGCAGTTCTCTTTACATCAGTCCAGTTTCTGGACTGAGTTCAGTTTCTTGCTTCTACAAGAACAAAATCTACACCTTTCCCCCATACTTTCCATCAAAACTTAAGGTATAGTAGGTGTAGTTTAATATGTTGAACTGGCAGCCTAAGTCTCTATCATATTTAAGACTTTAAACAGTGTCTGGGTTACTCCTGAGTCAGTGATCCATGTATTTATGTCTGATAAGTTACTGGTTTCCTCCTGGGTCTAATAATAACCGTGCTTCTATTTTGCTGCTCAGCCATATTTATGCCCAAACATCAGGTCCATATCTCTTTTATTGTGTCATTTTCTTGCAGGTCTAAATTAAGCCTCCTCTTTGAGCTTGGCATAAACAAACTGTTACACAATATACTGTAAAAGCAGCCCAGTCTGGTGTCTCCGTCTAGCACAGAGAGCTCTGCCCAAGCCCCTCGGTGTTTGGCTCTACAACACATAGATATGATGCTTTAAGCAAACAAAAAAAAAGTGTATCCCTTCACTTATACATGAGCAAACGTTATGTCATCCCGGTGCTCTTGCGTAATTTTCTCAGAACTTGTTGTACTCACTCTGTGATTCTTTGCTTTTAACTTGTAGTCGCAGGAAAGGACAGTCAGAATATTGTCACAACAAAAGTGTGTAGGTGTGACTTCAACCTCAGGATTTTCAGGCTTTCACAGGCATGTCTGCTCATGTAATTCTTGAGACAACTGAGCTCAAAACAGGAGAACCAATCTGGGGGGGTTCTGATTGAGATATTGGATGCAAACAATGGCCGTCTTCTGTTAAAGAAGCTTGAACCATGGGGCATTGTGTTATCAATACTGTCTTTAATCACATGCTTACACACACACAATCAGTTTCCAGACACATGACACCTAACTGTGGTGAAATAAGAGCTATACACGCTGCTGGACTGTTTTGTTTCGGGGAGGAGAGGAGAAAGCCGAGCTCTCAAGGCAAGGTGCTCCATGACAGCGATTAAACTTCTGACAGGGGAAAAATAGGAGCCTGACAGAGACGCAGAGAGACGTCAGGGGGAGCTGAGTAGGTCACCTGAGTTAAACAGTGTAGGAACTGCTTGTGGCTCGTCTGCCAAGACAACCTCTGAAATGGTATAGCATCGTAACAGTGCAGTGACAAGTTGCAGACTAGGAATGAGGTCTGTTCATTCAGAAATTGAATTCGGTTAAAAATAAGTCAGTGATCCTTAATCAATGCCTTTTTTTCTTGACTGTAAACAATACTGAACTATTCTTGATGTACTCTGCTCTCGTAAGTGAACCCTATCAAATTAAAAGGTGATAATTGGTCAGTGATGTGCCTCCAGCTTTATGTGAACTGTTTCCAGTCTCAGTTTCTGCATCCAAACTTTTAATCGAATCTGACATGTATTGTTTGTTCAGATGAGACATAATGGAAAGCATGTCATGTGTTTGGTGGTGTCGAGGCCTCGCTAAAATAAATCTTATATAATACCACAAGTTCATGCATCATTAAGAGTGGGTGCGGGTGTCTCTTATCGACTCGCAGTAAGCTCCACGCTTGTCAGATTGTAACCCAGAGGCTTCATATTGAAGGCACTGCAGTAGATTGTAAATAATGTTGTACTGGAAGTAGGAGGAGGCGGTTATCAGTTTGAGTAGATCCTCTATCATAAAGTCAGAAACGTGGGCGTTCGGCCTCTCTGTCTTTGCCTCTCCTGCTGTTTGCCTCTGCATGATCTGTTTATGACTCCTCTCTTTATTTGTTGATGCCTGTGTTATGCAGCGACTGTATTACTGTCTTAGCACTATTGATTCCACCCCTGCACTTGTGCACTTGTGTGTCTGAGACTTTCCATCATTCTCTCTTCCTGACACTCGGCCTGACCTGGCATTTGGAGCCTTCTTTATTTGACAGCTACAGGCGTTCCTCCTTGGGGAGAAGGAGGAGGTGTTAATGTCCTCCAGAATATCCCTGCATGCTGTCCCTGCTTGAGACCATGCCAAGGGGACTGGCTGTCAGAGCCTGTGTTATTCTTCCAGTGCTAGTTTTGGTAGCTTAAATTAAGAAATTTACGTAAGAATGAATATGACTGGCTTTTCCTTCTGTAAATCTTTTTGTGTTTTTGTTTTTTTGGACATTTGTTGCAGAAATGAAGAAGAATTGACTCTGAAATTTGTCTGTAGTGTTTTTTTTGCAGAGAAGATGTACGATATGTTTGCCCCAGAGTTTGCCGAACTCCTTTTTCACTCTCAGGGCCCCCCTGGCAAGCAGGTTGAGTTGCAAAACATTAAAATGTCACCAGGAAACACTAAAGTGTCCCTGTTGGAGGGGGGCTTCTCCTTCACCCTGCCCCTTTCCAAATATAAGTGGGTTTTCTGAGCTCAGAGTACAGCTGTCAGCTGACCATTGACCCATCTATCACAATGGTGTGAGTTATGTTGTTTCTAGGCAAAGCTACGTTTTATGTTTGTTCCAAGTGCAGGAAGAAGTTAAGGAGGATCAGAAAAATGGTGTTAAATTCTGTGGTGGAGTCAGTACATAAACCAGAGATTAAAGCACAACTGGTGGCCACCAGGTGTTTATATTTATAGAGATTGAGCACCCTAAACCTGTCATTTAACACCTCCAAGTACAATACATACAAATACAGCCTACCACGCTACAGAAACATGTTAAAATGCCACTCATCTATTTATCTAAATCAAGGATTTTACATCAAACCGTTAAGAGAGGCAAATACTGATGAAGTTGGATATCAATCTGAGATTTTGCCATAGGAAGGGAAGAATGGTTGGTTACAGCTTAATGGTGCCTGGTCAAATAAACACACAGACAGCCAAAAATATAAGATAAATACTCAACAGTTAGGAGTAATGGATCAATGCCTGGTAGGTAGATAGAGGTACACGGCTGAAGTGTTGATAGAAAGCTCCGATTGTTGGTTTTATGGTTGAACCCAAGTCTTTTAAAAATACCCGATAGATAGACAGAGGTCACTGAAATACCCGGTGTTAAGCTAGAGATTATGGACAACAAGAGGTAGATAGATGATCGGTGCATCAAGCTCAGATTAATAGATGCCAGGCTGCTAGCCAAAAAAAAGTGGGTAAATCCTTGTCTGAAAAAAGCTTCATAACTGTGGTCAGTAAACAGGAACAGTTCTGAACAAATGCTTGCTAACATGTAGTCCACATGGCTGTCCACTTTGTAAACTTGAAAAACTGGCTTTGCAGGTAATTCCATTGATTTAGGAAAGAAAAAAGGAGTTGAAGAAACTTTTAGAGAGGTGAACAGAAGTCTGCAGCCTTGATCGTGTCTCGATGGTGAATGTGTCTTTTGATAAACTTGCAAAACTTATAGGCAGCGCTGAACTCTGAGTGCTGCTGCTCCCTCTCATGAACATGCGTCTGTTTTCATCTCATAGCTGCATGTGAAGTAACAAAATCTTAATTACATACAGTTTGTAATATGTGGATTCAGTGCTCAACATTCCTGAATCCATTAAGGCACAACTAAATGTAGCCTGTGCTTTAGTCTGAGGAGTTCCTGTGGCACAGCAACTGAAAGATAAAAATGGAACAACCAAAGCAAAAAACTGCTTCGTCCTCACTGCCCCGGAAGCTCTGCGGCTTTTGTTTTGTATACATCTCACACTGTTGGCTTAGGACACGTTGACACCAGTGATCTCCCTTTAAGCCTCGCTGGCTGTAGCTCAACACATGGGCAGACAGAGTCAGACAGCGAGGGTAGGGAGTATGAGTTTTCTGAAATATGCACATCACAAAGAAATGTATGAGAGTTTGTATCCTCCTGGAAAAAAAAAAGCTGTGTGGTGGAAGGAAACCACAAAGTTGACTTTGGATTTGGTTAAATGAGGATGATCCAGACAAAGTAACAGCCTCTGCATCCTTCAAAGTAAGACTGTTCTTTGATTTTGAGGGTTGAATTAATAAACTCTGACTGAAGTTCACTCCCAGTCTGTTTGAAATCACCTCATTGCAAACTTTCCTCCTCAGACAGCTTACTCAAGCAGGTGATGAGGTTCAACTTTGCACGTTTTTTTTTCACAGTTTGCACTCAACTGAGAAGACCTCATGTTCTGCACAGGCACTTGTTGTACCTTTGGTGTCCCTGCATCAAACACACGTCACTCACTGTACAAGCCAGCACCTGTCATTTAACACTCAGAGGCGTTTTTTTTTTTTTTTATAAACCTTTTCAATTCCAGAAAATTTCCCGAGCATGCACCTGCCTAATCCCAGTGTTTGACAATCATACTGTACCGCTCAGCTCCACAAATGCAACCTCCTGTCCCTTCCTGCCCTTCATCTTAACCTATATCTGTCTGGGAATAAGCAGGTGGCTCAGCTAAGTGAACGTGGCACGTGAGAAAGAAGGGCAGCCGACAGGGCTCACTGTCAGTGCCCCAAGCATGTGCCGACCAATCGGTTTTTCCCCGGGCCTCCGTCTTTGAGTAGATTCTGAAAAGGCCTCTGCTGGCGGTTGCAGCCATAATCCCATTAGAGAGCGTAAGGGAAGATATAGGAAAGCAGAGTTAGGATTAAGTGACAGACTGACTCCTTTGGCAGATTACAGGTGATCAGGTGGGCGGATGTCGCCATATGTTGTACAAGCTGTTTAACATGTGTGTGTCTGTCGTGAATGCACAGATTCCTTGATTTGAGAGGGAGTCAGGATCTTCTCTCTTTGCAGAATCAACTAAATTGGAATAAAATGCGTCAAAGTTTGCAGCAGGTGTGCATATGTCCATAGAGGTTGCTATATAGACACAACCGGGAAACTGCAGACACAGGCACATCTGATCCTTGCATATCAGAGTACACTGCAACTGTAAGTGTAATTCAAGCAAGACAGGCCACTCAGGAGAGCGCTGACAGAAAGTGAGCAGCTCATGGGTGGTATACATTCATTGTTTGCTGGGGTCAGGTTGTTTTGGAGCCGCATCAACTCTGCCTGTAATTGGGTTTCATCAAGTCTCTCAAAATACTTGATATAAATAGATACCGTGGAAGGCAGATTACTGGTGTTGATGGGTTATTTATGTACCAAATATACCAGAATAATATTCATGGAGCGTTGAGGGTGGGGGTAGATTGAGAATATGTTAGCAACAACAGAGAATAAATAGCAGGAGCAGCACCCATCATCAATCACATCATGTCGCTGCGAGCCAAGTCAAACAGGTCAAAGGTCCGGTCTCATGTCAAGTCCTTGGTTTAAATTTGTCAGACAAAGTCAAGGCCGTCAATGAAGGAAAACACGTGATGCAAAAAATGAATCTAGGGTGCGTCCACGGGTTGATCCATTAGATTCACCTTTAAAACAATGTCTTAATGTTACAGAGGACTTTAAACCTGCATTTTTCTTGTGCAGGTTCTGCTCGTAAGCAGCAGCCGGCACCCAGACCAGTGGATCGTCCCTGGGGGTGGGATGGAGCCAGAAGAGGAGCCATGTGGGGCCGCAGTGCGAGAGGTGTTTGAAGAGGTGAGTAAAGCCAAGAATTCATCTCGTTTTTAATTTCTCAGGAACAGAGTCTCCGTTCCAAGAAGACGTCACTCTGAGAGGTCGTGATTGAACATTTCAGACGGTCAACTGCAAAGTAATACTTTTTTAACATTCAACCTCTCCATGAGCTATGAAAAGCAGCATGCAGAAATATTGCAGTTTAAAGCAACTGTGTGCTCTTAAAGCTTCTTATCATGTGGTGGTCAAATCTATTGGCCACTGAGAATCAAAAGGCTGTTTTTGCTCTCAACTGCAGCTGTTACAGACAATAAAACTAACATTAAAGCTTCTGTGCGTAATTTTATACTGTTTATACTGCATTATTGACTGAGATTCATGCTTTCTATGACATAAAAAAGCTAACAAAACCATAGATGATAATATCGGGTATTTTTATGCTGTAATTTTTAATGCCTGAAAACGGTGCAAGGGGTTCAGTTTCATCCATGCAGCTGTACAAAACACCCCTTTTGTTAAATGACACTTTTGAGCTCGCAGAGGACAAACCGAGTAAAGCCTGCTTTGCCTTTAGGGGACACCAAAATTGATGCAAAAGGGGTAACTGTTACAAGTTAAAAACACTCCTTAAAACTTTGAAGCCGTCAAAAATTTAGTTTGAACTCCTAAAAATGTAAATGTGGTATCAGAGTTGCCTGACTCAATAAACTGTGTGAGTACAAGCATTTAATACTGTATGAAATCTTAGTCGAAACAGTTGGTTGTGCTGTTTAAAACATTAAGACTGGGAAAAGTCTCAACTCAATCTCATCACCATCTTTGCTACTGCATACGACATATGAGACGAGCAGAATTGTTTGGCCCTAACCAGTGTTTTTGAGTTGACTGAGATAGAATACCACTTGGACACAGAGGACACACTTAAGCGATCATTTTCCTGACTGGTTTGCAGAATTTGCTGTGCAATTTTTGTCATTAATACCTGAATGTAATCATGCCCTGCTCAACCCTGATACCAGAGAGGCTCTCAGAAACTTAAGTAAAAATTAAACACTGTATTTAAAAGTGGATTTAAACCCTTTTACTGCCTGTAGATTCTCTTTACTCTGTCCTGAAGGTCAGAAACAAGGATGTTGGGGATTTGGATTTCACAGCTTTAGAGTAACATGTCCATACAGTTGAACATTAATTTATGCAATATGGGAGTTGTAATATACTTGATTCAGTGTGTTGCCCAGCCTCTCTTCTGAAGCAGCAGCTCAGGTGTTGATCATTAAAATACAAAAAACTGCAGTTCTTCAAGTGTCCACTTGAGGCTGGCTCCAAAAGCCAAGAAAAGTCTCATTAGGGTCCATGTTAAAATGTCAGTGATAGATTTGACATAGATTTCATATCAAAACTTATATTAAAGTCATATAAAAGTAAGTTTATATTAGCTTTAGGGTCAAATAATTCTGTGATATAGATATTACTGGTCAGTATTAGTTCAGGGTCTGATCAAGAAGAGATCTACTGAGGACATTACACCTGTGGTTACACTATCTTGGCTATAAGGTCATTATAATATTAGAAATCCTGTAAAATGTCTCAAGTACACATCTGTGCGTCCTCAAGGCCGAATAACTCCCATATCCTTGTCCATTTCCAGTAAATAAAAGAAATGCAATAACCAGAAGTGGAGTTCATAGGTCAGTTGTCTGTGTGCTATGGATGAGATTCTTAAAGGGCCACAGTTCTGGTATATGGGTGCCTGAGGTGTCCACTGGGATTCCAGAGGTCCCTCTGGTTGGGAACCTTGTGGTCTGAGCCACGTCAGCGGTCTAAACTTGGCTGCTGGCTGGATTCCTGTGCATTCACACATCTTGCAGTCCGGCTCGCTGGACACCTCAGTGGGACAGAGTGACACTTGTGAAGAGTGTGAACAGGGGGACTAGAGAAGGGAAAAGGACAGATGTCATATGTCTTTACAAGTAATAGGATTCCTTTGAAGTGCATCTGAATCAATGAAGCGACTGTTAAGTGTTATGACATTTCTGTTTTAGTACCTCCTAATGGGATGTGCGGGTGAGGAGACCTGCAAGAAAAGCTACTCTTAGAATCACTGGAGGTCCAGGTGCATAATGACCTTAAGTCCTTTTTAAAGACTTATCTCATCCACCTGCTTTAGCACTGCACTGAACCATACAAGAATCATTGTCCTCCTAACAAAAACAGTAAGTGCAGCTCGGCTGACAGTTTCTAAAAAAGATCGGAGAAACCACAAAGAGCAAAAAACAACTCCAAAAATACCCCCGTCTTAGCAGAAATTTATTCTGTCCTTGAGTTCTTGTGTTTTTGTTTGTGTTTCTGGGTAATTGTTGGTTAAGCTTTTGGATATCAGAATAAAGCCTGTGAGGTTACAGAGGGGTCCTGCACATGGAGGCAGACCTGGAGTTCTTGAAAACCATGAAATGCTTCACTTGATACTTATTGTTTCGATAAAGAATGCAAGTTCTGGGTCTACCTTCAATTTTCAAATGTTTTCATCCAGCATTCATCCTGATGGAGACCACTGCTGCTTGTAAAAATAGACCAAAAGGCTTCTGTCTGACACCTTTTTTCATTCTTCACACAGGCTGGTGTAAAGGGCAAGCTAGGACGTCTGCTCGGTGTATTTGAGGTAAGCTTTTACGGCTTCCACCAACTTGAGCTGCTAATTTTACCTATGTGTGAGCATAAATCATCCTGTTTAAACCATTTGTAAGCCACATTCATATACTGAGTGAATTTTTGTTATAAAGCACAAAGAAATATAAAGCTAAACCTTTTCCTGTCACTCTGTTTTTTACTAAGAAATTTCTTTCTCTCTGGTCTTTAAAGCAAAACCAGGATAGGAAGCACCGGACGTACGTTTATGTGCTGACCGTCACAGAGACACTGGAGGCCTGGGAAGACTCAGTCAACATAGGTACAGTTCACCTTCACCTCGATGCCACAGCTAACTCACACTTCACACTGTACTTACTGTCTCTTGTTATTAATGTGAAGGCCACTGTACTGAGGGTTACCATATGAGGTATGCTGCGACAACAGGTAACCATAAATCTCGGCCTCTGACGTAAACTGCAGCAGTCCTTAGCTGTAATATATCAGTCGCCTGGACACCTCTAATCCTGCCTTATTTGCTCTCCTCTTTCTTTTGATTATCTATTACTTTACCTGTTACACTTAGATTGCAAGAAATCTAGCCTCGATTCATCAAGGAATTTGGCTCATGAGACTTTAGAGTACAATCTGCTGGTTGTGATAACCTCTTTTGAAAAGCAGGACTTCAGGATTATATTTCCTAATCACATTTGGAAGCAGGAACTATTTCTTTCTGTTGTAGATAAAGCAAAACATTTCAGCTATTAAATCTTTTATGTAGAGTAAAAGAAGTAGTCGAGCTATAAAGTTTTGTCATTGTTTTGTTGGCATTTTTGTTTACTGTGGGCCTCTTTACAATTCTATGAACTTCCAGAAATGGTGTTATGCAACGCCTTTATTATGATACTTTATGAGGCTCAGGTCAAACAAGATTTAAAGGACCCTCTTTATTCATTCATGGTGTTCTGTCTCCCTCTGCAGGCCGGAAAAGGGAGTGGTTTACCGTGGACGAGGCCATCAAAGTGCTGCAGAGCCATAAACCAGTCCATGCAGAATACCTCCGGAGACTCCAGCTCAGCTGCTCCCCAACCAATGGGAACTCCATCCTCCCCAGCCCCCCGCCCAATGACAACTACCCCCATTACAGCGCTACAGCCACCACGGCCTCGACAGGCAGTGTGTTGGGCACCTCCTGCAGATAGGACTGCACTGAAAACTCTAATCCTGTCCGGTTAGGACAGCTCGCTCATAAAATTAAAAAGGACTGTACAGTCTTGCATGAATCTAATGACTCTTTAGAGTAAAGGCTCTCCTGTATCTATTATTTCTGCTGCAGGACAGACCAAAGCCGACACTACAACTGTTAAAGAAGACATCTGTGACAGGAAAACTCTGGATATAAATATTTCAAGAACACTTTTTTCTTTTGCTGGCAAACACCAGACCGATGAGCTGAAGCTTGAGGAGACAAAGCTGCAGTCGTCACTGCTGGCGTGAATGACCTGGTGAAAGAATGCCTTACAGTAAATTTGTATGAATGTTATATTTGTTTTTATTTCACTGACAGTCATTTTTTTATTTTATTTATCTTAACACAATGGATATGCTTCCTGGTCAATAAAGGTGGAGCAGACCCCAGAGCACGTCCACAGTCCTGAGACTTGATGATCTTTAACCCATAATGATAATGGCTTAATTCATTTGATGTAGCATGGATGACATTTTAAAAAGGATCCAATTTAAAAGTCTCAAGGATAGATGTTTCTTTGATTTGTAAGAGGCATTCAGTCCACAATGTAATCTCTATTTTTTGCCATTTTCTTGGGTCAGTCAGTTGCCCTTCACATTTTGTTTCTCTTAAAGCTGGATAAGGCATTAAAATTAAAGTCAAAGAACCCCTATAGTTTAAACACTAACAGAAATGGACCCAGACTGGAAGAGTCTCAGATATCTTACATGATACCTCAGCAAACTCAAAACTGGATCAGAGTCCAGACACTGTATTCATTATTGGTATTCCTTACTTTGACGTGATCTCACTGATGGTTTATCTGACAGCTCCCACCAATGCCTCCAACATGACGAGTCCACTAACCTTGACCGATTCATGAAGCGCTCTGTTGTCCGTTTCAGGCCACATACTTCTCCCAGCGTCCATCAGTGCTCTCTGTTTCCCAGGCTGTCACAGTGAAAGTATTTAATGCTATACATCTCTGCCTTAGCTGATGCACGCTGCAAGAGTAAGTTGAGTTTATTTCATAACTGGTACAAAAACTTTTTTTTTTGTTTATCTTTTTTACTTTTTTTGAATGACTGTCACACTAAGGCTGTTTTTTTTTTTAATCTCATGGTGCTGCATGCTGAATCAACCACTGAGGAACTTAATTCCCACGTACCATATGATTGTTTCATCTAAGAAATACTTTCATTATCTAAATAAATCAGTATTTTGGTTCAGCCGATGCTAATGCCGCTCATAGTCTTTGGTTCTATCATCTGATTGTTTTGGCTCCTCCTCCTCCTCTTCAGAGTCTGAAGAGTCACCAATCTCAGTTTGAGTCTATAGAGGAAATCAGGTAACAACATTTGGATACTCAAGAACCTCAATTTTAGGAGCATAATCGGCATACTGTGTTACCAGAGATGGACGTTTAGTCGACTAAATATCACCCTTGCTAGTTAGCACTCAAGGTACTAGTCGGTTAAACAAATTACTTTCATTTTTTATCATTATGGGCCTGAAATGTCAAATTTAGTGTCAAAGAAGAGCTGGGATCGTAGCTCTGGTTTATACCCGCTGCTCGAATGCTGTAACGCTCCACAATTAGATGTTAACAATTACCTGTGACAGTATCTAGTTAGCACTAAAATTGACGTACGGTTATACGAAGGCTGTGTCTGGTTAAACTCTCCACCAACTACTCCACTAGAGAAACATGTAACCAGACACTGTGACCCTCTGAGTTCGATAATTTGCTCAGTGTAAACTGTTTTCTCTTTGACCTGGTGGGTTAGTCAGAATTTGCCTTTTGTTTACATGAGTAGAAACCGTGTCGGTACAGGACATCCTTACATCCTCATCTCTGGCTCAGATGTTCCCCCTCCATGTGTACGCCTTTGCAACAATACATGATCATTTTAATCTGAAAAGAGGAATCCAAAGAAAAAAAAGGCTCATATCCAGTTTGCAGCTCATACATCACTCTTTTTTTATTATTATTTAGCTGTTTTCACTGAACAGAGACACCCTCCCACTCCTGTGTTGACAGCTGAATGACAACACGTAACCACACAGAGATTTGTAAATAGCTTTGAAGAGCAGAATTGTGTTTTTAACTTGAATGGACATGTAAATTTTCACTTAATATTTTATATATTTTCTAACGCTGTATAGATGGCAGGAAAACAATGTATAGAAACCCGCAAAGAAAAAGTATGTACAGTTTATTTGTATCAATGACAACGTGCCACAGGTTTAGGATGCTGATTTTGAGCTGGTTGGTTTGGAAGTTCACAGTTAAGTTGAATTTTGAGTCAAATGTGCTTGTGCATTCAAAATAAGAGTGTCAGAGTAATGAGCATTTATGAATCTTGAAGTTACCAGGACTAACGGGAGTACTAAACATGGGCTATAATCTAGTATTCTTTACAAACTATATCTTATCTTACTGATAGTTTTGTGTCACAAAAACACAGTAAACAAATGATGAAAATGGGGGTTTTAGTATATTCTAGGGGAAGAAAGCAGGATTGTAATGATCAGAGGAGAGCTAGTTTTAATCTTTCCTATCTTAATTAACAAGCTGTTTTTATAGGAGTATAAACATATCTAAAGAATACTCTAAAATCATGATTTCTAGTAACAGTTCAACAATAAGTCTTATACACAGAAGTTTTAAACTCTGACGCACCGATTTGGCTGCTGTAAACAATCAGCCTCGTTTGGTGGGTCCAAAAGGGACTCCAACCACCTTAAACCTTGATGTGTATGATCACTGATTAATGAATGTGAAACATGACGTGCCAAATTTAACAACATGTTAGTGTGCAAGTGGGGAAAATCCTTTCAGAGGTTTTTAGTTTAACTGCTGTGTGGAAAAAATCATTTCAAACATCATTTGATGAAGCAATTAGTCATTTTAGAATAAAGTTGTTTCTTATGCGAGAACTTTTCTTTTTAAAAATGCAACTTTTATTGTAAGTATTGTTGAAATAATGACTCAAGAACCACCGGAACTTAAACTTTTTACTTTAGTAGGTATTGTAAAATCCACATTTTCAGACTAAAACCCCAATAGTATGAATCAAACTTTACCCCATGAATGTTGAGCTCCTGCAGCTCATCATCACTCTCTCCTTCCTCTTGTTGGACTCTCTGTTTAATGTTTGGGTCTCTGTAGATCTGTGAATGTTCCTTTAAAGGAAAAATCTTGACTGTTGGGATTCAAACCCCCAAATGAAATGTAAGTGCTCAGGAACAAAACTCAAAGACATGAGCATCCACTAAATGAGCGCTGTTATGTGAATTTTGGACAGCATGATTGTTTGCTAAACACAGTTTGATGTTGCATGGATGTATCCAGTGCATTTTTAACTGAAAAAAGATTTGTCACCATTTTGTAATGAGTAATAATAATGCACAGAAACGTCAAATGTGAAAGCTCGGACTGGAAAGATTGTTTTTGAGAAAAGATTGCATTAAAGGGTAAAATCTTATTGTAACTGTGTATTTGTTCATTTTATATTTAGCTTATGCAAAAGTAGAATCTGCAGGCCATAATGTAACAATAATCTCCCTGTTTGGCGGAGGAGCCAGTGGCCAGAAAAGCTATTATGTTTTAAAAAATGAGCCACTTTCCACCCCTACTCTCAATTCTCAGCAGGGATTAGCATCTGCAGTGTTCCTCATTTACTGGCTGACATATTTAGGTTAGTGTATCAGATGACAGCTGATGCAAAACGAACCACACACCACTGACACACTTTCTTCAGAGTTATCTTTTGGGTATTTTTCCTTTATTAGATACGACATGTGGTGTGAGCTAAACCGCTGAGCCAATGGAAATGCACAATACCTCAACAAGGGAGCGGACTAGAAAAGAAAAGTCTGTGCAGAGAATTTGATTCAAACGAAAATGAACTCTTGGTTTGTGCAGTCAATAACTCTCAAAGTTCGACTCCCAAGACTTTACAGGACCCGACAACAGCTTCATTCTTTGGAGACACACCTGTGTCTGGCTGTGGTTTCTCTTCACAGCTGGAGCCAAAAAAAGAGGGTGTTTCTGTGAACACACTCTGAAAGACGTATTTACTGATCACAGGTGAAAAATGACCCTGTCACAAATATGACAATGGTTAGTATTTAAAGGTGGGGTAGGCAGGATCTGAGGAAGTACCAGTTTTTGGGAGAAATCTTAAATGTAAACACTACCCCTCCCTACCAGTTTTCCCCTCTGCTCCTCCTCTCCCCTCCCTCTCTGCTCCAGCAAGCCCCGCCCACAAACATGCTGCTGCTCGCTGTATCATTTCAATTAATTTCAGATATAATGAAGATAAATACTTCAGATAATTACAAATGGGGCCCAGTCAACGTGAAAGTAAACAGCATTGGTGCTACTGTTTATGTCGACAGTCTACCAGCAAACACATTGTTTGCATAACTTCTATAACTAGGATAAAGTGACATACTCCAGGACCCGAGGTAAACAGTTAAGTGATGTACAACACGCAGCAGGTCCCGTTTGACAAGAAACACCAATTTTACAGATACTTGGATTCCTTTGTTAAAGTTGTTTACCTGTCCAGCAGAAAGGTTACAGGGTCTGTAAGATCCTGAAGCGTCCCCCAACCTTTATGCTGATTTTGACTCGGCTTTTTAGCTCTTGTCCAGTCTACCTCCATTTTAAGCGCACATTATTCCACCAGTCTCCGGTATTTATTTTGTTTTCTTGCTTGTGTCTACAGTCAGAAAGAGCAGCCACTCAAAAATGTTAAAATGTTGACTACACAGACATAAAAAAACACAGCGATATCGTTATATTACCAAATGTTATCGATAACTAATGACTGATATTTAAAGCTGTTTTGTTTATACACCACAAAAAAGATGCTTCTTTAACGGAGTCCTGCCTACCCCACCTTTAAGATAAACCTGCACATACTTCATAACAAGCCCTGCACCCATACTATTACACAATTATCACTATTCTACTTATTTTTCTGGGTTAACAGCACATGAGGGGTTGCCTATAATTACACTTAAAATTATTCCTCCTCTACAGGTCTTTCACAGGCAACAGTGCAAAGGATTTTAATATTAATCCAGAAAATAAAAATTCCAACATTAATCCCGCCTAACAAGACTAAAAACCTGTCAGGGTTTAGTATTTGGTGATTGCACTTAAGGGGCGCTATCGGATTTTAAGGAGGGCCCGTGCCACCCCTTAAACACGCCCGTGGGCAGCTGGTATTTCTCTATGAAATGTATAGTAAGTGTAAAGTGAAAAACCAAGTGCTAAGAGAGTAAATACTCTCAGTTTCCTCCCCCTTATTTCAAACATAAACTGTAGCCTGACACCACCTTGTAGCGACACCTGACACCTCAGGTGCGCCGCCTATCGCCCCGCCCTTTCTCAGTGTCAGTTCTTCAGTGGATTCATTTGAGTGGGACAACAAAGCCGGACTACAGATTAATCCAGGAAATGTGCTTTTCCTCCTTAATGAAAGCACCGATCTAGACTCTCTGCGCTTTCAGTCACCATGGAAGAGGTGTTCTTTAAATCCGCCTTACCTGCGCAGGAGTCCTTCGTGCTGGATGACACCAGTCTGGCTCTGCCTGCCAAGCCGAGTCCAAGATCTCCGACACGGATGAACTCAAACGAGAGGAGCCTCCGTGTCCACCAGCAGGTTCAGCTGACACTGGCTCGGAAGGCAAAGAGGAGTGTGTCAAACGGTAATGTAGACTTTGAGAACTCCTTAAAGATGAAATATGGGGAAAAAACACCTTTAAGTGGACTCGATATCTTTGCACAGACAGATGCATGTCAGGCCACCCCTACACCGTGCCAGCGTTTGTACGTGAAAGGGTCATTTTAGGGATCGTGTGACACTTTCAAGAAAAGCCTAGAAACAGCTTTTTATCTCTAAATATATGTCATATCTTTGGTTTTACTGTTGGAAGCATTTAAACGATTTCACCGTACAGTTTCAATTGAAGTTTTAGTTTCAGCTCTTCCACTGAGGTTTGGTCCTGTTGTTTCCTGTCCTCTGTGGTTGACCAACTATGCTGAATATAAAGCAGCTTAATAAAAGAGTGACCTTCTTCTTGAATCTTTATCTTATCAACTACCTAACTAACAACACCTAAAAGTATAAACCGTACTTTATCCTCATTTAAAGAAATGATCCAAACAGTGTTTATCTTGCTATCTGTCAGATAACTGTTTACCTGTTTATCTTGTTATCCCATGTTAAGAGCCCTTGCTGTACAAAATCTTCAATGTAAGATTACTTATTTATAAAGAAACCATGGTTTATGTCTCAGACATTGAGTATCTCCTGTCATTTGAATGAATACAGTTATATTTTGTGCGTGAAATGCCTGCGGTAGAGCAGTTTGCCTGTTTAACAGGTTTCTGCAGTTTCATCCGTCAGCCTAAAGGAAGATGAAAGTGACAGCTGGCAGGTCTTGAATGTGATATATCACCCACTGCTCTGCTTTCCAGGGGGTTATACCTTTTTTTATTCATTATGCACCAGTGACTTGAATATATTTGGCATGTGGATGGATAATCTCTATTGTTAATTTCTTCTTTAACCAAAAATAATTATTTTTGCAACATTAAATATCACTTTCCCACCATGTAAGAGTTAACTTCTTTGTACAAAATGATGCATCATGTCCACTTTCTGTTTAGGATTATTTAAAGTACCTATTTCTTTTTCCCACAGCTGTTTTCTTCGTAACAATCCTCAATGCAACTAAAGTCTTCTAGTTTGCATTTTTTCAAAAATACGCCTGTAGCACCTGTCTTCTGAGAAAGCTGGGATGGGGCTCATACCTTAAAGCTGACGAGGAGTCACTGTCATGTTTCCAGGTTAATCCAGTGTGAAATGTAAGACTCTAACAAAACCTCTTTAACTCGTTTCAGGTAGTGTCCATTTACAGAAAAACACAACAAAGAGTTTTGATGCTGCAGATGGATCTTTACCGAACATGAAGGTAAGAGAAGGGTTTGACTTAACTCAAACTGGTGTTAGTATTAATGACAGACAGCCATCAGTCCAAAACTCAAGACCCAGATGGATCCATAAATACGAACGAGGCTGTGATTTAAATATTGTACACCATAATTTAAATGTAGTCAAATGGTCTGCCTCTGCGTTATCTACACGACCTCAGAAGCAAAGAGAATGAACTGTTGTGCTTTATGTTTTATAATGTTTTGACAGCATTAATACTGTTAAATGTTTCCACGACATGTATGTCAGTTTTAATCTTATTTTACCAATAAATAATCACAAAATAAGTAACCTCAATGTCCTTTTTGCCTGATAAGCATTAAAGTCAAAGTCAGTTTTGAGATTCAGCATATATTTCGCAAAACAGAGTTTAGAGTGAACACCTGCAATAGCAGATCGTTGAAGAAGGAGGATAGAGTAAAGAAAGAATGACATGAATGACTTAATGAATGAATGAATAATTATATAATGAGTAGAAAACTTTTTTTTTTCTTGAACTTGCACTATATGAGGGATAAGTCATATAGGCAAAAACAAAATATTAATTTATACTTAATTTGTTCATTCAGACCTGGTCTGTGAGCACTGTCTTATATATTCAGTGATTTAATAAAACTTCTCGGGTCTGTATCAAACAGCTGTCAGGGTTAACTTCCTTTTAAATAGACAATTCCAACAACTTTGAGCACAATATTCAGGTTGCTAGGCAACAGTCTACTTTCAAACTAGCATCATCCAGATTCTTTAAGGCTTGTGTCGGCAGCTGGTCTGGTTCTGGAGGTGCTGAGGGCCCGACACTGTCCAGCACACTGGTTGCTCCTTTTTAGTTTCCTCTGGTTGGGTGTTGATCAGCTGTGTGAGTTTCTGTCCTCTGAGTCTTCTACAATAAGCTGATGTTGCTCACTGGCTCTTTAAGAGGCTAAGTCCACTAATACTGTTTTTTACTGATAGTACCCAAAACCTGAATGTCAGAGTGTTTCTCACCTGTGCTAACTGCTGCAAGGATACAAAAGTACCTTTGATCATTATTAGTATTGACTGGTTACCAATTAGAGACACTTATGTAAGCATTCACATATGATTTTATTGATTTAAAAACATATTTATTTGTGCAGTGAAAGAAGTAGTCCTTCAAATTTAGACTTCAGTAGCAGCAGTATTCTTATCAATCAAAGATCATTCAGTCATTCGATCAGTCAAACTTCTGTAAAAGGTCCAGTTAAATTTGTAAGAAAGCTCAGTAATGATTACATTTAGAGTCCTTTAGGGATTTACAGGACTAGGAGAATAAACAGGACACAATATGTGAAAATGTGTTTTTCGTTTTTGACAGGTTAATGGATACAGCTTCAACAAAAACTCATTTTCAACAACTCATTTGCGGAGACCATCAAGGAGGGTGGAAGTCTCTCCACCATCAAGCCCAAACATACACCGCAATCGCTTCACTTGTAGCACCCAGCGCTATGCGACATACACCCATCCAGGACCAAGTCAGCCACGCAGGATAGGGTCCCTCCTGGACCACCAGCTCAGCTCTGACTCATTCCATCGCTATGCCCTCTCAGAAGCTCCCTGTATCAGGAGACCCCAGGCGTCTACATCCACACTCGGGAGCTTCCGTGGTCAGTCGCAGAAACTGGTTGCAGCTCCTCAGCCTGTGTTTGCAGCGATCCAGCAAAGTAGCGAATATGGTGGCTCTCGTTGGGGTCAAACTATCATCAAACAGGACAAACAGATGGTGCAGGGACAGAGTAGGGATATGATGCTCAGTACTAACCAGACTGATGAAGGCCTGTCCTGGTTGGCAAAGATCAGGAGGGATGGTCAGAGGCTCCAAAGACTGAATTCTTATCCCCCTTCAGTTACTAGCATGGAGGTGGACCTGGGGAGACAGATTGATGTCGAGCCCCCCTGTCAAGAGATCCAAGCACAGAACGTCATTACCCAGTAAGATCTTGTTTTTTCTTGTTTGCACATTATAGGATACATTTTCAAGGGCCTGTGTCCACTAACAGCATTTTTTACAAGTTTGTAAAAAAAATCACCTGTCTTTTAGTAATAAATCAAAATCAAGAATTCCTAATGTCAGCTTTGTCATCAATGGCAAAGATGTGTACAAAGGGAACCAACAATTTTTTTCCGACAGAAATTTTTTTAGGCCTTGAGCTGCTGCTAATGCTAAAACATGATTTCAACCAAGTGTTACATTTTCTTTGTAAAATCCAATTTAATGACATGCAGCTGACAGAGCAGCTGAAAACAAACGTAATATACAACAAGGAAGAGTTAACACCACAGCACATGTTTCAGTATCTAGGAACGGTAAATATTGTCAGAGGTGCTCTGAAATTTTAGGCATTGTCTGTAAAAAAATGCTTTAAGTGGAAACAGGCCCTGAATGAGTCTGATTTATGATCCAGGTTTAATGACTGTAACTCTGTGGGTTCTGTGACTTTGGGGTTGGTGTATTTTGCAATTGAATGCTGCCTTTCCACACAGAAAGTCGGTGAACAAGCCTCCAGAGATGACGATAGAGAGAGCCATAAAACTATTGGAGGAGGACAACGATGACACCCTAATCTCTGCAGGCAGCTTCTTACAGAATCAGTGTTTCAGGAGTACAGAAGCAAAGAAGATGGTGGGTCTGGTCACACATATCTTAACTTAATCCTTACTTAATAATATGGCAACAAAGAAAAGTGGAAAACTGATGATGGTTGGTTGTGTTGTTTGGATATTGACTTAGCTTTAAACAGTTTAAGAGGCCAAAGGAAGTTTTGTTTTCATGTTGTTGATAAGTGTGACTGAAACATACTGCAGCTCGATGAAACCAGCAGATTCATTGTCCAGTAATCATCCATTCACTCATTTCCAGGTATATTACCTCCGTGGGATTAAAAAACTTCTTCAGCTGTTACGCAGCGACAATGAGGAGGTGCAGTGTGTCGGTGCTGGAGCTCTACGTAATGTTGTATACCAAAGTGCTGAAAACAAGATGGAGGTGAAGGAAAACAACGGCCTGGCTATCATTTTGCGAGCGCTGAAGACCAGCCGCGATGTTGAGACCAGAAGAGAACTCACAGGTCAGGAGTTACAGCTACAGAAACAATGAAATGGTGAAAAGAAATTGTGTTAATTGTATTTGTTGCTGCATCATCTCAAGCTGCAGAGGGAGTCTTTGAGGAGAGGTTCTCTTTTACCAAGAGTGAATAGATGGAGTCTTTGAAATGTTGGTGGTTATTGTTATGTTACCTGATACTTGCATGTTTGTTATGTGGTCAGCTATCCTGCTGCTGAAGGGTGGGGCTGTTCTGGTGAGAATGGGAACAGCTGGTGATATAAACAGGAGATTTTCTGTGGACCAGGTCGTCTCATTTCAGTTCAGCCTGAGTAGTCTACACCCTGCACTGAGGCAGGGTCCTGCAAGGAATCCTACCCCTGAATTTGGACACAGCATGTTACACAAAAGCAGATATAAGGGATCTTTAAAATCTTACTATCAGGGTTTAAACATAAGGACAGAGTTGTTTAACTTTTTGCAAACTCTTAAGTACATCCTTGTCCCACTTCTAGGTCTATTGTGGAACCTCTCCTCTCATGACCTCTTGAAGGATCGCCTCTCCAAAGAGGCGTTATCCGTCCTTACTCAGTCCGTCCTTGTGCCCAGTTCTGGCATTTCTGAGGGCGAGAACCCAAAAGACGAGCTCCTGGCTGATGATGGTGTTTTCCACAATGCGACAGGCTGCCTGAGGTAAGCTTGTTTAACTTTACAACAATCATTCAGGGAGTTTTTGCAGTGTAAGTTTTTGATGGGAGTCATCAGATACTGTTGCTTATGTGAGATCATCAGCTGACATCAAACAAAAAGAGTCAAATACCTCAGCAAAAATGACCTCTATGGTTGACACATGTTTTGACTGTAAGAGAAATGCTTGGAACTTATCTTAAAAATCTCTAAATCAAACGTTTTGGTCGGTAGTTCATATTGAAAAAGTTGAGGAAAAGTGTTTTGTACCAGTTTGAAAAAGTGTTGGGTCACTGTGCTAAAGGATGTCAAACTATAACAGGAACATCGTCTGCGTTTCTCATTTACTGTTGTCATTTTAAATGGAATTTTACCGTAATAAGAAGTTAGTAAAACTGAATGTAATTCTGGAAATTATTTTTTTCCTGTCCTGTTTTTTTAAACATCCTTGAAGGACTGGGAGTCCACAGTATTGCTGTTTACTTTCAGAGGCCTTGCTCAAGGTGATTTCCATTGTCAATATGCTCACGTTCAGCAAATAGAAAGTTATTGTCATGACCGCAACGTTTTTGTTTGTCAACATGGTAATACCTTCACTAACCCTAAACAAAAAGTAAAGAGTAGGCCAACGGGAATTTGGTTAGTGTTAAACAAAAGATAGGAGCTAATAAAAATTTCCAAAAGAACTGTCAAGACATGGCTTTTAGGTTGGTGCATTTTAAAATATTTTTTTCATGAAGACATTTTTGGTAAGTGTGGCTAAATCTAGGATTTACAAATGTTTAAATCCTATTTAATCACTAAATGTTAATAGTTAATCCTGATTAATCACATTTTTTTTATCTCATCTCAACCCAAAATGATGTTATTCTGCATAAGTCCATATTGACTTTTTGGCATCTTGATTTTCAACTTCAGTGAATGCTATAAAATGTTCTGTATGTTCTTAGCTTTTCGATTCGTTATTCAAATGAACGTTTCAGGATTACGTGTTTCATCCGAAGACGAACTTTATTGATCCCCTAAGGGAAATTCAAATATAAATACAATAAAAATTCAACATCTGCAGGGCTGTGATGACTCAGACCCTCCAAAACAAAACTTTGCCATCTATGTCTGTAGGACATCAGTCTGGTTTGTCTGGTCAGTTGCGCCTGTATGCGGAGCTCGTGGGATGTAGCTCAAACTCAAAGTAGCCCTGCTAAAAACAACATGGTAAATAATCTTAAATAATATCAGAATGACAGTATTTAACAGTGATAGTGATTGCCAAAGTCTAGTTTTTACTATTTACTGTTAAGTGTTGGTCATCATCTTTTCTCCTCCTTTTATTTACCACCTGTTGTTTAACTGAGCAATGCCACAATATATCCTTTATGTTCTGAGCATATGTAATTTATTCCTGTTGGAAACATGTTGTTGCTGTGTGTACAAAGCAGGAGGTACGACACACTGGTCCCCTGGCAACTACAGCCGGATCAAATAAGTGAAAACTGAATAATTGATGCTGCGCCCTCTTCTCTCTGCTCCTCTGCTTCAATGTTCTCAAGTTCTCCTTTAGGTCTTCAAACCTTTCAAGCTTTGTGTGGATGAGGAAATTATCCTTTATTGTCATTCACATTTGGTTACAACACAAAGAACCTGCTGTGTGGATTGAAAGTGTTTGAAATTGAACAACAAAATGCCTCAATGGGTCACTCAGTCAGGACAAAGTTACTAAAAATTAAATTAAACAGCCTGAGTGTCTGTACTCCTACAAAAGTGACCGAGCTGAATAAACCTGCAGACGGCGATCAGTGTTCATGTCAGCGCAGTGATATTATGTTACACTCATATCCCTCTTTGCATAAACATGCTCAGAGTAAATCCACTGCACTCCTGTGAATGCACACCCAGCACTTTTTACAGTGTATCTCATTTATTATAAAGACTTTTAAATGATTAAGACATGCAGAATTCAATAATTATTTGATAAAACTCTTGACAGCCAAGTTTGTACATGATATCTGAGATGTTTGTGTGTAAATGTGCAACACCAATGCATGCCACAGTTTGTGTGTATGTTATGAAAGTAACCTTTATCCCCTCTCACAAGAATGGTTTGCTTAGGTGTGACATAATTTAGTTGAATCCAATTTTCTTGACAAATATTTTAATGTACTATAATTTAAATTTAAAAAGTGTCCATCTCAAAACCAGCCAAAGTTGTGTCAACTTGCACATTCTATACCAAAACTTCCCTGTTTGGCAGAAAACAGCTCGATCTGTCAGCGCTGCCTCTTCTGTGGCTGCACAAACTTTATAAAATGAGCCTCCAGGTCTTCTCAGCTCCTCAATGTTTGCAGTTTGTTGTTTAAATAAGAGGCGATGCAAAACAAAGGTAAACCCTGCTGCTGTCGCAACTTTTTAAAACCTGTTCCTGGCATCAAATATAAATCAGAATACGTTTTTGTTTTTAGTTTCAACATTTGATGTTTTTTTTAGCCCTATGTCTGCAGAGTTTAAACCTTTTGAAATCAGTTTTTATTTATTTGTCACATGGTTGTCTTTTGCTGCAAAGTCAAGCACCACCCGCAGACCATCAGGTGATATAAACAGTCCATATCAGCTGACAATTCAACCAGCTACCTTCAATGCATCTACTCAGAAAATGTCGAAATCATAGACTGTATATAGAATGGACAGCGTTTGCCTCCTCCCTGGGTGAAGCCACCCCGAGAACAGCACCCTCTGGTGACGGGCTGCAGTATAGGTCATAAATCCCGCCTCCACACAGAATAAACATTTTTCTCCCCCCTGCTTGTGATGTTGACATGTAGTTACTGTAAGACTGGTTTGTGCTCAAGTCCTCTTTTTTCTGTGCAGCTCCATTTTTAAAAGTTATTAGTGGGTTCCTGTTTTCTATTATTGACGCTTGATACAGTCTATGGGCGTACGAAGATTGCGTAGCTCACCCGGGGCTACGCTGTTTGAGCCAAGCCAAGCGTCATCACAGCGACTCTCCCACCTAATGTGTACCATGGTACTGTGGAAGTAATGGAGTGCATACAACGCTCCTGTGCAATGTTGGTTTCAGGAAGTGGAGAAAAATCGCAGAAATACTGAGACCTTTTTGGCTTCAAATCCATAAACTGGTGGAAGGCGGAACCAAGTTGTCCATAATATATACGGTCTATGGTCCAAATTTAGTGCTTTACTGAAACTGTTTTTGCTTGCTCACTCCTGCTGCTTTCTTTGCAAACTGCCTTGTAACCCACCTCCACCCTAAGTCCTTCCCTTTAATGCTGTCATAGGTATTGCTGCTGATTCCCACTCTATTCTGCACACTGAGAGTCTCTGCTGCAGCTCTACTTGCCTTGGTTTTTCATGTATGCAAATGAAAGGGAGAGGAGCTCTCCCTGCTGCAGGCATAAGCTCTCAGAACAGGACCTTATACTCACTGCATGCACATATAATGATTTTTGATGACAGTGGTTCTGATTGAACTACATTTAAGCGCCAGCAGTTTAAGTTTCAGCGAATAGATTTTGATTTCATCATCTCATTCATGTTGGAGTGATAGCTGACGTTTTTCAGTTCAATCGTTGCTCTCTGTTGAATCAGTTTAGCCCTGATTTCTGAATTTTCTGTCCTCTCAGTCTGCATGTCATACATGAGACGTTCTGAGGACACAGAAGTTTTTCACAGTTGACCTGAAATATCTACTCACTGCTTTTTTCCAGAGCAGATATAATAAAACACGATCTGCTGTGAAGGTTTTTTTGGGCCATTTCGAATCTTTATATTTGTATGTGCTTTCAGGGAACAGGCCTCCTTCTTCTGAATTTCATCCTCAAGTGTGTTGCAACCCTCTTCTTTTTACTTGTTGAGGGTACTGGTACTTGTTATTGAGACATGTATTCAGCTGCATCTTCCAGTTTACACAGCTGAGGCTTGATTGTCTTGTCTTTTTCTGTATGTGTAAGTGTGAGCTTTCCACTGTGACTCCTCCCGTGCTTTTATAAGCTGTTTTTTAAAACAAGCTTTCATTTGTTCAGGGCAGCAGTGCGTTTGCACTGCAGTGATTTGACGTCTGAAACCAGTTCTTGGTTTCTCTTAGTCACATGTTGAAGCTCTTGAGCAGTTTTTTCCTGCAGGATTGCAGCCTCATAGTCCCTCTGGAGTGACCTGGCTTTTCTGTGTTCCCTGTTAAGGTCTGAAGCCTGCTTGTCAGTCTCTCTTGCAGCGATTAAATGATGCTATCTTTGTCTCAAGCTTCAGTTTGAAGAGCCTAAATCATTTTGAGTCTCTCTTCATGCTCAGTTGCTTCTGTACAGATATTGATCAAAAGTTGTACATTTGACTTTCACAGCCTTTTCTGTGACTTCTTTAGATGAGCCACTTGTTCCTTTAAGGGGTCATTTTCAGCATGAAGGCTGTTTCTGTCGTCTTGCATGGTCTTGAGGAGAATTCTGGACTCTTTTCTACCTCCTCTGATAACAGAGTCTTGATTCTCTTTACCAAGAGGCTTGAAAAATTAGACTTTTTGTAACATCTTACAGCAGTTTATATGACGTTTCTCTTTAATATGTGTAACAGAAAATCTTTGACATCAGTTTTTACGGGACTTTTCAAAGGTAGAATTACTTGTTTTACATTTCTGAGCTGAGATGTACATGTAATTCATTTTAAAAGACCTATAGAGGATTTTGATTTTAAAACCATATGAGTGAAAATAAGGGAATTTCAGAAAGCTCACTTTAATGTGTTTTTGTTTTAATATTTCTGAATTTTCTCTTATGGCTCTGGTTTTATTTACGCTTTCGTTTCCAGAAATCTGAGTTCTGCTGGTCCTGAAGGCAGAAGAGCCATGAGGGACTGTGAGAATCTCATCGACTCTTTGGTCTACTACGTTCGGGGAGCCATAGCTGACTACAAGACGGATGACAAGGTGAAATAGAAATGAAACTTTAGTCTGTATGAAACTGGGGTGGTCAGGGATGGCATTGCTGAAGAGCCACCTCTGTATCTTAACATATATTTAGTAAGTTCAGATTCAGGCTTATGCCAAAATCCACTTTTACAGTTGTATCTTAACAGGCTAGCTGTAGCAGTTTATGTATTTAAATGTTGCTTTTCAGGCTCTCATTCAGGCTTCAGTTTGTTGTATTTATGTTTACAACTTGACTGGAAAGTTTACTTTACTGTGTTAGATTTAATATTTACACTCTCTAAAGTCCACAGAGAACTGCGTCTGCATTTTGCACAACCTGTCCTATCAGATGGAGGCAGAGCTTCCTCAGAAGTACACCAGAGATCTCCGAGAATCTCGACAAAACTTGGCTGCCGAGCCAAAGCCTGTCGGCTGCTTTGCTTATCGCAGTGCCAAGATCACAGAGGTAATCCCTTCGGATGAAAATCCACTCTGACATTACAAAAAGTTTCCTCACAGTGTGCTTATTAAAAGCTTTACTGTGTGAGATCTGCAGGAGGAATGCAGGTTTTATCAGCAGTCTTTTAGATTAAACTTTAAAGATAAACTCTTCACAGGTCTTTGCAGTCCCTTTAAACTCCTTAAACGATGATCTGGATTTCAGACAATGTCAGCCACAAATTCCTGATACTTAAGCCAGTTTATAGAATCATCATGCTTGTTAGCTGCTCTTTGTTGTCATGTAACCAAGCATCTTTACTCAGGAGCTGGAGCAACACTGCCCCCTGCTGGAGGAAAAGGCAAACCCCTGTGGCATTGAGTGGCTGTGGAGCACCATCACAATCAGGATGTACCTGTCGCTGATCGCCCGCAGTGTGAGACCCCAAACACAGGAGGCTGCTGTCGGAGCCCTGCAGAATATCACAGCCGGGAGCGGAGCGGTAAGAGGGGACAACATAAAACTTAAAGAAGACCACACAGCTGAATTTAGACTTTGAAATGTCTGCTGTTGGGTTCAATGATACTTTTGGGATCCAATTAGGATTGATACTTGTAGTGGTATTTTGCTGAAGATTTTATGTCTTAGAATTGTGTGTAATTAAAAGCAAAACCCTTTTTCATCATTTCCCCTCTCGAGTTAAAGGGATATTCTGGCGTAAAATTAATTTTGGGTCAAACACACCGCAACCCCTCGAGAGATGAAAGTTGCTGACCGCTTGCTTCTCTAGTAATACCAACTTTTAGTAACGACCGCACGATAGCATTACACAGTGGTCTGAGGAGCCATAAACAAACCTTAACCAAAACACCACTCTATAGCCACAAATAATGCTCAGAACAGCACCTAACTTCATCAACAGTACATAGAGGGTCCCAGCCACAGAACTAGACACCAAACATCTTTTTTACTTTGTCTAATTTCTTTAGCAAAGAGACTAAACACACCTCACCTACTCTCTTCCAGCAGCCACTTGTTTGTAGCGAGACCTCGGGCCAGCCCATTATGAACTGGTGCGAGTGGACGTTTGGTTGTTACTAAAGTTGGTAAAGCTAGAGAAGCAAGCGGTCTGCAACATTCGTCTCTCGACGAGGTTTCTAACTCGGTGTTACAGTGTGACTGACCCTAAATTAATTTTACACCGGAATATCCCTTTCATGTAAAAATGTCTCATCTATGTTAAGACCTGGAAACAACATCCTATAACAATGTCTGACACCGATTTATTTCTGTGGCCTCACAGATAGCTGAAGCCATCACTTTCACTATTGTTAAGCGGGAAAATGGCCTTCAACATATCAAGAAGATGTTAGAAGAAGGAGAGAGTGACGTGAGGAGGACGTCCATATCTTTGATCAAAAACCTGTCACGATACCAAGAGCTACATCCTGACATTGGTAACTGAAATTTTTACCTGCCAAATACAAAGCCTGGATTTATTTACACTCTTGAGCCTCTTCCACATGCATCCTCCTGAAAATTTCAGGTCATTTTCAGGAGTGTGCCCTAAAATGTTCATAAATCGCTTGTTAACACATGTTTCTTGTGAATTTTTTGCTGTATGGTGACAGAAGAAGTGGTGTGCATATGCAAAAAATAATACAAACTTTTTTTCAAGCATGCACAAAGCCCCTGAAAACTTGCAGGCACAGCAGGTTGTGTCTTTCATGGTCTCCTTCTCTGCCCGCACTCCCTCGTTCAACTGGGAAAACTTCATTACTGTGAGGGGCATGTGAGAACAAGCAACTCTGGGAAATTTTAAGGGCAGTGCTGCTAAAAATTTGCAGAAATTTCCAGTTAAGGTTTAAGCTTATCTGTTTGTATTTTGTCCTCAAGTCAATCAGGTGTTGCCAGAAGTGGTACAGATGCTGCCCCATGATGACACCGGTACTGACCTGCCTACTGAGCTGACGGCGTCCCTGCTGCACATCCTTATCAGTCTGAGTCAGAGTGACATGAAGCATGTCAAAACCATCGTCAACCAGGGAGCACTCCCGAGGATCATTAACATCAGCAGCAAGGACAACGGGTTAGTGTTTACGGTGACACAAATAAGAAAGATAGAGTGAAAAGAGAGAAGATTTGTGCCTGAGTAGGTGATTTTAGGAAAGATGAACCAGAACATTTAAACTCCAAATGCAACCTGCTAAGAGATTGTTCCTTATATGCACTGTTTTTCAAAAGTTTTGGACCATCCAGAGCTGGACAGGCGGCTTGTGTTCTGCTGCACACCATGTGGAAGTACAGTGATCTCCATGGGACATACAAGAAGGTGAGGTCTTATCCATGCAACATGAGGGGTGATGTTTAGAGAACAGGGGGAGGTGCACAAACTGATCCAAACAGGGGGGAACAGCCCCCTGCTGGAAAGTGGTGATCTTATGATCAGCCTGCTCGTGGTTCAAGTTATTCTAACTTAGTATTTAAATTCATATTTAAACAAAGCACTGGCCTGCTAATTAATTATTGGGGGCCTAGTAGGCTGTCCTTACTGTGTCTGCAAATCTTTTTTTTTTTCCAATTTAATCTTTATTTAACCTAGAATGTTCCCACTGCGATACAAACCTCTTTTTCAAGGGAATCAGCCGAGACAGCTGCATAAAAAGTTTTATGACAAACAACAGACAATAACACAACTAGATACAGAGATCAATATTTGACCTGCTTTCAGCAGTAAAACATGTACATTCAAAAGGCAAATGAAACAAACTATTGATTGAAAATAAAGTAAACAGATAATTTGCTTTTGTTCTTGAGAATATGCAACAGTAAAACTAATGGACATGATGGCACAGCTGTGACTGAAGTTACTTCAGAAATAAAATGACAAAAAAGATATAAAAAATATAAAGCTTGTACTCGCCAATATGGATCTACAGCGCCTGCTTATTTGAAAATAAAATCCATCCTCCTTTCTTTTCTCAAAGAGACTTCAATGGCTCTGTTGTACAGTTTATTATCTGTGCATTTCAGTTCTATCAGTAACTCCTTTTCTATGGACTTGGAGGTCAATGCTGAAAGTTGGTCTGTTCAGTTGTGTTTCTATACAGGAAAATACAGCAAATGCTGTTGGTAGTTAATAGATCTCATGGTTTAGTTCGATATTTTGCAAAGTGCTGCCATTCAGGTTCTCAAGAGTGCTTATCCAATCACAGGATGCGTACATGCCCAGTTCCAGCAATTGCAAATATTTCAAATTTCCCTCAGCCTTTTTTTTTTTTACGACTAGGGAGCATTAAAGTCAAGTTTTTAATCCAAATCTCTTCTCTGGACAGTGCGGCCACAAGAAAACTGATTTCATCAACCAAAGGACAACCAAGGCTGTGAATTCTGCATGAGACTGTGTGTAAGACCAGGAATTACAGAAATACTTTTTAACACTTTGAGCCCTTGTGGCACCAAATCTCTCAGCGCACTGCAACTTCTGTCATGGATGAGCGTGTCTCAATGTAGTCGGTGATGATTTCTGTGGAAGTCCTCGGCTGATATGCACCCCTACATGTTATCTGCTTAGTTTCCAGAGAAGAGTGAGTCATTTCTTGAAAAATTCTTGGGATAAATTACCTCAAGATGATGTTACAGATTGAGATAAGTGAATTCAGTTTGCAATAACAAATTTTCTTATCACTTGAGGAATACAGAGCTGCCAAATCTATTTGCAGATATCTCCCTGTAGACATAAATAAATGGACCTCTGATTACCACCTTTGGCAGCAAGGACTTCTGAACAGCAGATTGTTCCTTTTTTCACTCCACACACTTACACTTCTCATTAATGAGAAAGATTGATTTGTTATACTGGAAAATTAAGTGAATCAAATGTGTGGATGCATGTCTGCTCAGCGCTCCCATAGACTGCCCAGAGAGAGAGTTTTCTTTCAACACAGCCTATGTACATTCCCCTCAAAGCTCCCATGAAATGACTTTGAAAAAATTCATATTCTTTTTCTTTTATATAACCATAGAGGCAGCTTAACTGTTAGGAATGTGTGTGTTGTGTTGTTTTTAGCACTTGAGGTGACTAATTGAATAAGAAAGTGTAAAGAAAAATAATGACAAGAAAGTGTTCATATCTCAAAATCTTAGTGTTTCATAACTGTATAAAAAGTTATTTAGAATTTGATAACTTCCTGCTGTGACATAACAAAAAACAAGCTGATCTCCTGCTTTCTGTCTGCAGTTTTGTCAACAATTGTATAAAAATAAACATATTATCACAATGTTATTGGAAACTTTACTAATTTTGTTGTTACAGAAATTTACCCAAATCAATTATTATTTATTAAGTCATTTTCAATTATTATTATTATTATTTTTACTTGGGTCTGCACCATGAAGCAACTTCAACATGCCCCGCCCCGGGTATTGTACGGTTAACTCCCCCTGACAAAGGGTCTAGTTATACCAACTTTAGTAAGACCCCACGATAGCAATACCTCGCAGCCTCAGGAGCCATGCGCTCGATCAAAGCGCCACTCTATAGCCACAAATAATGCTCAGAACAGCACCTAACTTCATCAACAGTACATACTGGGTCCCAGCCATAGCAGTAGCCACCAAACATCTTTCTAGCTTTGCCTCATTTCTTTAGCAAAGAGACTAAACACAACTCACCCACTCTCTTCCAGCAGCCGCTTGTTTGTATGGAGACCTCAGATGACTCAAAGCTGTAAAAGGCCAAAAATCAACAAACTCAATAAGTAAGGATGATATGAGTCATTTTATTTTGTAGTCAGGCAGGTTCATCTGCAGCAATGATCCTTGAGAACCTACAAGACAAGCTCAAAACTGAAGGGAGACACCTCAAGTTAGTGACACCTGTTTGTATAACATGAATGAATGAATACAGATGAAGAGAAATCTCCTACAGGTCCCAACCTGTAGCAGTTTACTTGGGGGGCAATCCAAGTCAAGCCTAATCCAGCCTTTTACCATCAGCTCTTTCTAAAGAGTAAGTTCAGGTAAACTCTTGACAGTGGGGGAGTTTTTACCCCTCAGACCCTGACTGGCAGATGATTCAAAAAGAGATGGGTCCTTTCATTGAAGTCTACCTCTTAAACTATTTTTGTACACATTCATTATCAGGCCTGCTGTCTAGAAGTGAAGTGTTCTGGAGGGAAAAACAGGGAAAATAGGTGAGCTCTTCAGATATAATGGTTTCACAGCAATTAGGAGCTTTCAAAGTGAAAAAAAGATGTTTCAGATTCTCTTCTAGGTATTAAGTTGTATTTCTGAGTATTAATTTCTCAGTTACCTCAGCAAAGGTTCTTCCAAGAGAAGTTCAGACTCCCAAAGATTAATAAGCACCATGATCTCCTCTGATCCTTCACTTTGAAATGTCTGAATTAGTGCACAGTGCATGACTAAAACAAGCGAGTTACACAATTTGTAAATCCTAGAGAGACAGACGGGATCGATGCCAGGAGGAACGAAATTCTCAGGTGTTTGGCTTCATTAGTGCATCCTCTGGGTGACTTTGAGGGCCTAAAGCAGTGATAACCTTGCAGGGGCTTGGCAGGGTGAACTGCACTGCAGTAGAGCTGAAAGGGGGAGGAGTCAGGAGGCTGAGTGACAATCAAAACCCACCTTTTAAATCAGGCTTTACGAGAGGGAAGTGAGGTTTGAAGTGGAAATCCTAGCCTCCTTTTTTTCCACATGCTGTACAGCCAAGCAAGTTTTGGAGTTTTAGAAATGAATAAAGACCAGTCACTGAGCCTTTTCACTCTGCAAGTAAAGAACCTTGGAGTCAAATGAAGCAGCTGAGACATTTATAGAGGCCTCACTTGATTTGAGGTAGAGGTTTCTTTTGGACATGATATGAATTAATACATTCATTTTTATTTATCAACTTTGGAAATATAATTATATCTCCCTGAGATGTGGAACATTATTTGAAATCAGTTTGTTTATTCTTCATCTATCCTGCAGAGGGCAGTGTTGTTGCATTAAAACCACAGCTGCCTTGTTAAGAAGCCAAGACGAGGCTGAATCCTGTCTATTAAAAATGTCCTCAAGTGACACTTTGTCCCCCGAAAACTTTTTTAAATACATATTCATGAACTCCACATCCCACGTGTTATAAAATGGTCTAGATTAAACCCTAAGCCTTTCTATTTGAAGAACTAAACCATGCACTTTCCTTTTTTTTTATAACTAATCTCTAATTCACCCACTTTGTGGACTATTTTGGGGACATAGTCTATGATTTTCAAGCTCTTTTTGCGAAAGGGAAAGAAAAAGCCAAATCCTTTTAACAATAGCCTACTTGTCCTTCTGCTGCTGGTAGGATTGGTCTGATTTTTCATTCAGAAGGAGAGCTTCACTCCCTCTTTTTAATTAGGTGATGAGAGCCAAAGACAAAAAGGGATCAATCGATAACAAATAGGCTGATACGGACATGAGTATTTTCTCTCAGTGTTTCTAAGCCGCTCCAAACCCTGAGGAATGATATTTATAGCACCATAACTGAAAAGTATATGTCCCGAACATAAAAATAGCCACAAGTAACAGGTGTAAAGTCACATGAGGATGGGTTTGTTTGTTCCTGGGGGAAAGTGGTGGTCGAGTTACAACCACTAAGCATGTTTGATTCAGAGTCCACCAAGAGAAAGAAAGGATTCTTTCAGTGCTAGAAAACAGGCTCAAGAGAAGCCAGTTTAACTTTTTTTTTTCCTCACACTGACGCCATTGTCAGGGGTGTCTGCACTCAGAGGGCAAATTGCTTCACGCTGACATAATCAGGCAGGAACATTTGGGATCTCAAATTAAGTCGCTCTTTCTTTTGCACTTCAGTATTTTCATGCTTTTGAGCAGGCCTTATGTGTTTTTACCCCCTCTCTGATCCTTTTTGGAAAGTCTGAGAGGAAGTGCAACCCTGCAGACACAGCGAGGAGTTTCATTTCAGCTCCAGAGCGCCATAAGCTCAGAGCACATTATACTTCACAAGAATCTGGCGCTGAATAAACCATTTCACGTTACGTAATATTTTTATACCTTACAGACTGTGCCACACATTTTTCTACTTCTGTGACTTTCATTTTAACTGAATAAGCGCCAGCAGAAAATGATCATGCCGCAGAGTTGTTTTTTTTTGTATTGAATGTGCTGTCAGTAAAAAGAGCACATATACTACAGCATGGTTTAGCACATGCTCCATCTGCAATGATTTATTCAAGGATTTCTGCTCGGAGCTTTCAGTTCCAGCTGTCACACTGGTTAAAAAAAGATTTTTAAAGATTTTAAAACTTGATCAATAGTAAGTTCTTTAAAGGGGTCTGCTGTGGGCTTTGGCAGCTTTTGTCTGCCTACACACATGGTCACTTTCCCTATAGCTGAGAGGATGTTGTATTCCCCCCCTTTTGTTATTTTTCCCTTTAATTGAATTTAGCTTTGCTGGAGGTTTTGGCAGCTTTGGAGCCGACCAAACAGCCCTCATTTTTGGCACAATAGTTAAACGTCCTTCGCTGAGCTTTTGTTTTCTTGTTTCTGTTTTGTTGGAGTTTATTTTAATTCTTTTGTGGAGTTAATCAGTCAAATGCAGCAAATTGAAAACCAACTGAGTTTGTCAGGTAACATCCGGTCCATCAGGACATGTAGTCATCAGAAAATCATTAAGTGGTTTAAGCACGTGCCCCATGATCCTGGTCGTAGCCTTTGACTCCTGGTCATGACCCTTTGCTACATGTCTCTACTGTCTGCTCAAGACGTCTCCTCTCTCTCCTCGGCTGTCCTGTCTAAAAATGGCAAAAAAAAAGTCCCAAAATATGACCTAAAATAGATGGATACAGGTCCTTCACAGGACAAAGCAATAACTAAGCTTTGAAAAACTATAAATCTTTCTCTTTATATATGTGTGTATAATAAAAATTTAAACAAAAATGTAAAATAATGATAGTAATATTAATGCCATTTAAAAAAGTATGCATATTTGTCCATTCCTGTTTAGACAGATAGATTTGTTCATTCAAATATTTGATAGAAGACCACATTAAAAGGGTCAAAACCCCCAAATTTATGCACTTAATGTCAAGTGCCTAAAAGTGCAGACATGAAGAGTCAGATTTTTGCTTATGTTTTGAATTCAGGAGAGGCAGTAAAATCCATCATCCTGAAAGTTTTGGCCTAAGTCATAAAATAATGAGTGATCCTGAATTTTTACCTGATGATAGAAGATCAATCTGCTTTTTGAACTGCAGGAGGAGGAGAGAGTCAAGGACTGAACACTTCTGAGATCTGATTGATGTAGTCAGCAGGGTAAAAAGAGACTACACGAGTTAAATCCTCAGATCTCAGAGTCTGTAGTGTCGTAAAGGAGTAACTGGTGGCTGATGGTGCCAAA